CCATTGCAACACCAGGGGCTCCATGTGGAACTTATTGAAGAGGCCTTTTTATGTTGTCGTTGTGATCTTTTATTTTCCTGCATTAGTTATTTTGTGCATAAGTCGGTGATTAGTTGCATTCAGAGTACTGACTATTTCACCTTTGTTTCTTGTCCGTCCTTAACTACTTGCAGAGTTTTGCTCTCATTTCTCTTTCTCTGGCTACAAATAGTGACTTTTTGTATTTCTGCCTGACAGCATCCCTGGCTTCAGTCCATAGTTCTGGCTCCTGGTCAGTCAGTTCTAGTAGTGCAAATTTAGTTTCAGATTATCTTTAAATTTTACAGGGATATTCTTCAGGTTGTATTTTGATGTGATAGTTGTTCAGTCTTCTTTCACTTTACTCTAATATTTTATATTAGTAGTCCATGGTCTGTGCTACAACCAGCTCATGGTCTTATTTTTGCAGAAACACTGGAGCTTCCCCATTTTCCACTTCCAGTTATGTAATCTTGTCCATCAAATAACTTCTATGTATATAGTCACTTCTTTGGTTTCTAGAAGATTTTTTTTTTTTTTGATAGTGAGCTAGAGTATTTGCCGACAAAAGCTCAAAATTTGATATGATAGAAGAGAAGGGCAGAAATATAGATGAGATTTGGAGAAACTTCACAAAATAGGGTCAAAGATTTTTTCGCATTCCATTTTCTCTGGAATTGTGTTGCAAACTTTGTTAAGGCTGAAGAGTGAAATATTGGTTAGCTACAGTATGGTAACTGCTTTGTCCACAAGATGTCAGTGTGAATCAAGGAATCAAGTGAAAGGCATGCATACTGGGAAAAGTGACAAAGGGCTTTCTGTCCATATGAAGAAATTACTGATGCTTATATTCAGATTTCATTCAGTATACTGATATAACGGCTTAAAAATTGAAGACTCATATGCATAAATACTGCTTTACAAATCCCATGTTCAGAGTACAAAACTATGTAATTTTAAAACATCTGATTACAATAGATTTGATGGTCAAGCTTCATTCATTTGAAAAGTAAAATTATCAACCCCCCCCCCCCCCCCCCCCCCATGCATCATATATATTTTGGTGTTGTAGTGTGTTTGCGTGGACATTTTATATTTATACAGCTAAATAGAAATAGGAATATCAATTGAATAGAAACTTCAGAATGTTAGGGTTTTTTTTCAAATACTCTTGCTGCATGTTATTGACATGAAAATGTTATGTAAATATTACTCCTATTTCAGTATAAAATGCTAGAATATCTGTAATGTTCAATTTTTCAAAGACTAAAAAGCTTCCTCACCACATGCCAACAGTAGAAGATGCAGTTCTATGGTGCCGTTGTGAGCATGTCGATTCAGAAGTCCCACTGTGTATGATGGGTCTTGATCGCTGGGAGATGTTAATAGGGTTTATTATCTTGATGTAAAACCTGTTGAAATAAATGCCTCTTTCTTCTTTGTTCTTATTCTGTCTTCTGCTGAAAGAAGGAAGAATAAAATAGTTTGAGCCGTGTAGTCACGACATTTGCAGAGTTAATTTGCCACCTGAAATTGTGTTCTTTTTCTTTTAAACATATTTTGATCTCAAGTACTCAGTCAGTACATATTACTGTAGGTAACTGGGGTGCCTCAGGAAGACATTTGTTTCCTTGAAAATCATGGTGGTGTTGGATGTAAGTCGACAAGTAGGATGCAAGCATATGTAGGCATATTGATATAGATTTTATTTATTTATTTATTTATTTATTTAAAATGTCAATATGCCACTTTTCTTCTCTTCTCTTAAGTTCAAAGTTCCTGACAGCAAGCATAAATTAGCAATTTGAAAGCAGTCTCTTACAATATAGCAGTTAAGCATGAAGATGTTGCAATAGCAATGTAACAGAAAACAGCAGTGAAATTGTTCGAAATATCATTCAGGGCAAAACCATTTAATGATTTCAATTAACTTTCAAAGACTTGCTATGAGGGTGATATTTGACTCTAAGATGAAATAGATTCAAAATTATTTTGGTGACAAGTGAAGTCTTATTTACTTTGGTAAGAAAACATGGGTTAAATGATCTTTCCAGCAGATCTTGGGCTGGAATTTTGAAAAAGAACAAATACAATGACATGTTGAAACAACCCGTAAATGAGCTATAGTAAGGTAATTTTCATACCATTCGTTATGAATAGTTTCAGCATTTCATATTTCTGCATCTTACAAATAACGTTCTAAGCTTCATTTTCAAGCCATTTTCTCAGAAACCTAACTTCCGTTAGGAATGGAGTTTTGTTCTGATTATATGTGTGGTGGTTCTCAGAGAAGGCTTTTACGGAAAAAGGGACAGGGAACTTTTTTCTCCTGGATTTCAGAGGGAGTACCAATAGTCCACTACTGTTGTCTTTGCGCTTGTTATTTTACGAAATGTTGGTGATGCAAATCTTACTACTGCTGCTTTAACTGCATATATGATTAATTTACCTTGTCTTTTCATGCACACATTGGTGTAAATCTTTATCTCCCATGCTCTCCGTTTTGGGGTGGGGTGTGATTATGTTGCTTGAGTGAACAATTTCTAACAGGCAGACATGGCCATAGCAAATAGAAGAACACGAATGCAAAGAGATATTGCCGACCTACAACTGAAGCATAGTAATTGTTATGATAACATTTATTTAGGAACTATAATAAAACAATGTTAAAAACCACTTTGCAAATAAGACTAGGGATTATTGTGCCTCAGGTTTTGTGGGATAAATATATCTATGTTTATCATCTGTGATACAAAGATAGAAAAGGGGGAGGGATGAATAATGTTACAGTTTGTTTAAAATGCCTGGCTTATTTGCAAGGACATAGCTTTTACTTCTCAATGGTAACCTATAAGTGAAAGTGTGCAGAATATTTCTATTCCAAATTTAGATGAAGTCTTATATCCTTAGTCCTATTCTTTCTTTTTTGTCTTAGTATTTGTTGCTATGGGTGTAAACTATGTATCTTTAAAATAACGGGACACTTACCATCTAATTATTATTTCTTATGAAAGTGTTAAAATCTTGAGTTTGAATTCCCTAAAAAGATGTGTAGAGCAATCCTAAACTAATGGCAATATATTTATAGGAGGAATTTGTGGCTCTCCAAATGTTCAGCTCAGTTCCCACCATTCCTAACCCCTGACCACGTTAGCTAAGGATATTGGATTGGGTGTTGTTGTCCAACAATACCTGGATGGCCATATTACTACTACCACTACCACTACTAATACTACTACTATTATTGTTACATGCATTTATACCCCACCTTTTCTCTCCATAAAGGAGACTCAAAGCAGCCATATGTCCCCCATCCCATTCTGGAGCCTGATAAGAAACAGGCTTATATTTCATTTAAAATTTTAATAAATCACATTCCTGTGAAAAAATATTCTAATCTGTTTGTTATGAAAATTCCTCCTAACATAATTGTACTGCCTTGAAGATAAGGTGTTCTAACTACTTGTCACACATTTACGCAAGGATGTTGTAAGACTTGGGGGAAGCCTGTCGGTCATTTTCAGTAGGGGACGAGGGAGACTGACCTGCTGCTCAAGTGGCAGCAGGGATTTGTAGGTAAACTTAACTGCCTCCCACTTCTGGCTTTGTACTGCTTTGACATAATGCACACATCAAAGCTTTCCTGTTTTCCTCCCTGTAAGCATTACATTTACATTTTACACATAACCTTTTGGTAAACATACAAGATCAGAGTTTAGCACTAAGATTTCTGTATCCACCATTGTAGTATTGCATAATTGTGAACCTGTCAGAGAGAAGAATTTGCCCACAATGTGAGCACTGTAGAGATTATGCATTAGCCATTCTTGGCATACATGAAATATAATGTGGTGGTGGCATTCGCATCTTAGAAAATTTCAGTTCACTCCCTTTAGCTCTTAGCTAATCACTGAAATATTAAACATAGTTTTAAAACGCTCGTTTTAATTTGTCCTCTGAATTTTAATGTTTTTGGCAATCCTGTGATATATTGCCGAGAAGCACCCTGATTTTACACCACTTGGTTTTTATTAGCATTCAGTTGTGGTGCCGGACATCACCAGTCCTTTCACTTCATATATCATCTGTGATTTGAAAAGCACATGAAAATGTTTCCTCATTTTCAATATTGTGTGAGTAATGTTCCCACTGAAAAGTAATGGAGTGAAGTTGTCACTTGTCACCGTAGTTATTAAGGAGGATGACTTTTAGATCTTGCTCATAATAAAATAAATCTGTCACATGTAGATTTACTTTTCTCACAATAAAGGAGGGGAGGATAGTTCTTTTTAAATAGGATTGTGTACATTTGTCCTATAGCTGTGGGGAGAAAAACCCAGGCAGGACAGTCTTTGTCCCATGGAATGTTTTTGAATAGGCACACTTGTTTTTTTAATGTATCCAGACAAAGTGATTGATCATTTTTCAAGGAAAACTCTTCAATAAAACGTGGTAGCTTTATTACATTTTACCCATGTGGGTTTATATTGAGAAAAGGCAGGTATATAAATGTGATAAGGATTTTGAACTTTTTGTGCTTGTCAAAGCAGCTTGGTTTTCTAAGCATTGTTGGTTTGACTTTGATGCTATCATCTGAAAGCAGTAAAAGAGGAAATTAAATTAAATTTAATTCTAATCAAGGTGTCCATAAAATTACACTGCTGAGTAGTTAATAGCCTTTTAAAATCTCATCAGATGATAATTAAGTATATCCTGTTGTTTCTTATATGGGAAGACACTCAATTTTTCATGTTATCATTTTTGGGGGATCTGCATAGTATTGTATCCTTGACAAATGATACTGAGCTGTTTCAAGGCTCTTATATCAATGTGTAGCGTTTTTTAAAATCTCCTAGCATAATTATATCTAATACTCCTGATATATTTAAACAACTTTAAAAAAAATTAAAATGTGACTATGAAAGAAACCACCACCCATGAATCAATATATTAACAATGTTAACTTTGCTTTTACCCCGCAGTCTCGGAAAGGGAGCGACCCAGACAAAGAGAAGAAAGGTTTGGAGAGCAGAGCAGATAGCATTGGAAGCGGCCGTGCAATCCCAATTAAACAGGTATGTTCTGTGTGAGTGCGTGCGTGTGCGCTTTCCCTGCACTTAGAGACACACCTCGGGTCTTAAACACCATGATGCTGGGTTCGTGTGCCAAGATTTATTTGATGTGCTCTGCTGATGAATGTTGAAGTCACTCACTTGACATCAATTAGGAGAGGTTCCTATGTGTATTAAAATAGGATCATTAGAATAAGAAGAGGGAAAAAGTGACAACAGGCCTAATGAAGTGCAGTCTGCCGGCCTGCATATGGAGCGTGCTTCTAGGCTGAGCGGGCTTCAAAGCCTGCCTTTTGTAGAGAGCGCTTTGATTGGGCCGTTTGCTGTGAGTCGACAAGGGTAAATCAGATCACTGTACAAGAGCCCCTTGTGATCACAGAAATAGCCCGATGTGGCCCTCATTTGCGATTGCAGAAGGACATCTGAACACCGTTCCAGGCTGGTTTGCAACAACGAGGCAATTAGTTGCGATAATCATAGCTGGTGTGTCAGCTGTGCGCTCTTGTTTGTAATTTGCTAATGAAGGAATTGTAACTTCATTTAGACCTTGTTATATAAGAGAACATTAGCAGTCATAGTATGTGGCCTTAATTAAACTTCCTTATTACACTACAGGATTTGAATCTGAGGATTTGTTTTGATGGCCATAGGCACACTTGCATTGCCCCCTTCCACCCCAAAGGGAACAATATTAATGTGAACAGTAAGGAAGTTCTTGAATCTGACGCATTGTACTTGTGGCTCACAGTTTCCTAGTTTTCCAGTGCTTAAGCACTTTTTGAAATTTAAAGATTTTTTTATTTACTAACAGAATTGTTACCTGTAATTCTCTTTGATATATTTTAATGTTTTGGAAAGTTTTATCTAACAAAGATATTAAGCTATGGGCCTTCACACAATACACCTAAATATTCATGATATTTCTTTGTCAAATTGCATTGTTTAATCAGGAAAATGTTACACAAGACAAATATAGAACATTTCTGCACCATTGAAAATGATCCGATGTTTATTAAGAATATGTGAAATGGTTTCATACCATACTTTTTATAGATTCTTAGTCATTTATACTTTGTATATATTCATTATCTTTAGAGTTGCCTCTTCAAGATATATGTGGGAACTAAAACATCAAGGAAAACTGTTGAAAATTTGTAAAAGATTAAAATTCTTTATTCCTCGAAAACATGTGTGGGGAGGAGTTTTAAAACTTTATTGGAGCCTGTGAAATTCCAACATTTGGTGAAAGTTGCTTTGGGCATCCTGAACAAAACTTTTTCTGAAAGGAATGTTCATTTGAATGAAATAATAGAAGGGAGCTGCAGATGGAGCGATACACAAGATCAATGTCCTTACTCTCCAAATCAGTTGAGCTTCCAAACTCAGAACTCCTCAATATTGTTCTCTGAGAGTTTCACTGATTTTAAAGAACATAGAAGACATAAACAGCACTAACATCTGGCAGGAATATGAATATCCTTTCTGACTTGGAATGAAGAAGTTGAATTGCTTTTCATGGGGATGGATAACTTGAATTATTTTTTGTGGCAAAAGTGAAGTGGCAGCAGTTAGGAGACAGTGTAAAGAATTAGCAGAATTAAAATGAGCAACTTACTTTGAGCAGAAATCTTTGTGTAATTAGACTCCCTTACTCTTCTCTCATTTTTAATTGAGTCTTAATATGGTTACTGCTGGGCCATAGTTATTGTAAGCGTGACTGGTCATACATTTATTTAAGCAAATACAACTAGTCTATTGAGCCACTAGTCCACATTCTACTCCACAACTGGATTTGGTAAATGCTTAATGCTTTCTATACTGTTATTCGGTGGAGCCCCTAGTGGCAGAGTGGGTTAAATCGCTCAGCTGCTGCGTTTGCTGACCAAAAAGTCGGCGGTTTAAATCCAGAGAGTGGGATGAGCCCCCACTGTTAGCCCCAGCTTATGCCAACCTAGCAGTTCAAAAACATGCAAATGTGAGTAGATCAGTAGGTACTGCTCTAGCAGGAAGGTAATGGCTCTCCATGTAGTAATGCTGGCCACATGACCTTGGAGGCAGCTACGGACAATGCTGGCTATTTGGCTTAGAAATGGGGATGAGCACCACCCCTAGTGTTGGGCACAACTAGACTTATTGTCAAGGGGAAACCTTTGCCTTTACCTTTATGATATTCAGTGCATAAAACTGAAATAATGAAGAATTAGGCATACAATTCCATATTACACAATATGTTTGGATCCAGGATATTTTTGTAGACCAATACCTAAACGTTAGGAAGGAGATTCTTATGTTAGCTGTTTGGAATTATCAAGAGTTTTCCATTTCAAACATCAGCAACACTCACAGAGTGGTACAGAAAGGACACAATTTTGTGTCAAGAGGTTCTTTACCATTGGTGTTGCTCCACATCACCCTCTCTCAGCCTGTGTGAATACATTTTTAATCAAGATGATTTAAATCATATTGATTGATTACCTAGACATAACAATATCAACGTTAAACAAAAATAAATTCAAGTAAACTATAAAAACCATTATACATGCATATGCATTTTTTAATAAAGAAGCTGCCCAGTTGTTTTTTTATAAAACAAGAATACGTCAACCCTGCTTAAATCTCAGTGGTTGATGAAAAAAGGGCTAAGCCTAGCCTTTCAGATCAACATACTGTACCTAATGCTTTTCAATTAAGTCAGGGATGGACAAAGTGTGAGCCATGGGCCACACATGCCCCCTCCCCAAATCATTTTTGTGCCCCACATGCTCATGCTCCTAGGGTAAAATACTGTCATATTTTAGGTGTGCCAGAATTCTCCAAAATGTCTTTTAGATCATACAGGTACCTTATGCCTCCTCATTCAGCCAATTTAGAGGTCTTAAAAAATCAACAGAGAAGGGGCTAAAAATGTTGTAAAAATCCCCCCCCCCCACTTCCTATGGGGGAATTTAGAACCAGAATTTTGTTTGTTTGTGGGATGTAATGGAGGGTGCAAACAGTTGTCTACCCCTGAGTTAATGAACTATATCCACACATATGAGTGAATGTCTATTAATTTATATTTTATTTTAAAAACAGTTTCTATGTTTTGGATTTTTTTGAACACTTTGCTATCTTCTAGATTTTGAAAATATTTGAAGCCATATATTGTTTATCTTTTGTTCTATAAGTTCATAGAAGACTTTTAAAATCTTATATAGTTCTCTGCGTAATTAAGAGTGACTAAGAAGATCTTCCATCTTGAATACTTGGGAAGCTTCATGGCATTATCTCAGTTGCACTATCTGTTTCCTTCTTTCTTATTCTTATTCTTCCCTTGGAAATATCTGTGTTTCTCCTTCTTTTTTTTCAAATAAAGTATTACGTTTACACCTGTGCAGACCACAAGTCAATTTTGCAATGTTTGATCGATATCATTTTCTTCTTTCACCAAGATTATCATTCATTCTGACATTCATGTGCATTTCTCTCCATTTTGGAGTGTTTTTGGTCTGATTCAAATAACATCATCATGAGACCGAAATCCCTTTAACATCACACAACTATAACGGCTATCTAAACTGCCATAGCAACATCCTATGGCATCTTGGAATTTGTAGTTTATAAAGGAGTAGAATTCTCAGTTGGCGAGCTTGTCTGACGCCTCAACAGACTATCTCAGAATTGTCTAGAAATAAACCATATCGGTTAAGGTGGAATCACAGCGCTATAACTGTGTAGCGTGAAAAGTCTATTTCTCTATGTGATTTGTCCTATTAGCACCTTTCTACAGCCTGGAATCTTCAAAAGAATGCAGTCCTCAGTGAGTTGGCACCCGAAAAGCTCCCCGAGCTCCCACTTTCCTCCAGTATTTATCATCCAAAATTGATAAAGTGCCACTGCTAGGAATGATTAAAAAAACTTCCTCTAATGGGAAAAGTGCAGAAAGGAGCAACAATGGTTCTTTGGAAGAATCTCCAGCTGGATTTTTAAAGGGGGGAGGACCAACTACTGGGGCAATCATTGCATTGTACAATTAACACTTGCCCATATCTGTTCAAGAGCACTACTTCCATGTCAATTATGACCAATAAAAGAAATGAATAAATAGAGGATTCCGCTGTATACCTGGTCAAGGAGGTGATCATATTGAGCTTGCCTGGGATCAAGGGGTTAATTAGCTCCTAGGGCAAGAGACAGTCCGAGACAGTCCATCTTCCTATACCTATTCAAAATGGTACCTTGTTGAGACAGGGAGAAAGGGTGTGTGGGCTTAGTACCTCTTTCCTAAAAAACCATTGCTCAGCCCCTTAATTTGGATGGGAGAACTTGTATTTGTTTTGCTTATATTGCTAAGGAAGAAAACCTTAAATTCAGAGTCAGTGGGTAAGAGAGAGTCTACTGTGGAGTTTGTAAGGAGGCATTTCAAGGGGTTTCTCTTATGTTGCCATGATATGTAACTATGCAGTTGATGGGATTGAGTGACACTCAGAGTTTGGGCAGGGCGAGATGGAAAAATATAGTCCTTCCCACACACTCTTCCTAACATTACATCCTAGGTAAATGCTGAGACCTAAGAGCAGAGTATCTCCTGAAGATTTCAGGGCTTGGTGGGCTCATATGAGAGAACTGAGTCCCATCAACATGGACCTAAGACTTACAACATTCAGTAGATAGAACCAGGAATTTTAATTACGCCTGAAAATAAACAAGTAGACAGTAACACTCACACTGTTGGCAGATCAGATATTTTCAGGGACAAGTATTCTGACTTTACCAGTACAAATACACTTCTGGCCTCTGTAGATATCTGTGCCTCTGAGCTCAGAGCTGAATCCAGGAATACACAAAAACTTGCATTTAGAGCAGTGGTTCTCAACCTGTGGGTCCCCAGGTGGTTTTACCTACAACTCCTAGAAAACCTAGCCAGTTTACCAGCTGTTAGGATTTCTGGGAGTTGTAGGCCAAAACATCTGGGGACCCACAGGTTGAGAACCACTGATTTAGAGGGTGAATATAACCCTACC